ATCTATCTATCTATCTATCTATCTATCTATCTATCTATCTATCTATCTATCTATCTATCTATCTATCTATCTATCTATTCTTTATGTGCCTAATTAGATGTACAACAAAATCTGCACAATAAGAATGTTGATAATTTTTAATCTTAAAAAAGGAAGAAGAAGAAAAAAAGAAATTGAACATGCAGCCTGGGTAGACTATTGTTTTTAGAAATCTGGGTCATGAGGTGCAGAGAAAATGACAGAATGTCAAAGGACCATGGACAGAGTGACAACACAGGGAAATGAACAATGTAGCTCTCAGGTTTACCCAACAGAAACTTTCAGATGGGCATCTGATTTTGCCACATTTTTCCACATGATAAACTTGTTTCCATCATGGCCTTAAGTGGTCCTTTTGCATGTATTTTCTGAGATTTAACCATGAATGTAAAACATACCAATGGGTTAAACCAGTACAAACAATGCAGCAATTAACTCTGTGAGAGCGTTTCAGTTAACTAAATCTGTGTTGAGATTAAGTTGTGAGTTATGCCAATAGGTTCCACATAAATCCATCCATCGTCTTTCTCTGCTTCTCTTTTCTGGGTCGTGAGGGGCTGGTGCCTATCTCCATCAGTCACTGTGTGAGAGGAGGGGGACACCATGGACAGGTCGCAAGTCCATCACAGAAATTCTATATATAGTTCTTACTAAATATAAACCAAGTGCCCTCTGAMAAAAAAAAGGGTTAAGTAGGTCCTCTGGGCGAGCTCTTTGTTAAAAAGGGTTTGTCTCTTCTCCAGAAGACTTGTTCAGTCTGAGGAGTTTCAGGTGAATTCAGCCTCRTAAGTATTTACACATGGTGGACAAACATGTTTAACGATGACAATCAAAACTATTTGTTCAAGTGAAAAAGATGACTATCAGCATAACAATAGATCATTAGTGCCCTGATTGTCGCCTATTGTTCTCCAAAGGCTGAGTCATAGTGGCAATAGCAGCATTGTAAGAGGGGGACAACTACACATGGAGGCCTCCACTTCTGTACTTCTCTCTCAAACCAGTGTTCCTCTCTATCAAGGATGAGAACATCTTCATCCCTGAAAGACTGACCACTAACCAGTAGGTGAATGTAAATTGCAGAGTCCTGGCCTGATTATGTTGCTCTTCTGTACTAGCCCATACTTTTGAACACTGGCTGCTTTGTTTCCCCAATGTATAACTGATCACAGTCCTCCTGGTACTTAACAGCATATGCTATATTACTCTGTTTGTGGACTGGATCTTTGGTATGAATCAGTCTTATTTGTAATGTGTTTTGGGGTTTGAAAGCYACTGGGACATCATGTTTAGACAATAAATGTCTCAGTGTTCATACAAAATGAACGTCTGGGTCTGGGTTTGGGGTCTTCCTTTTCACCCACTGGCCGGCTGGAATCCTGCATGAGTTTTTTGTCTGCTTTTAGAAAAGWCCAGTTAGCATAACCACTTTGCTCCAGGGCCTGTCTTATGTGGGATTTCTCTTTCTCCCTGGCTCCTGAGTTTTTGGAGATGCTATCCTGATAACTTCTAACTTGAGCTCCAGTGGGTGATGGGAGTGAGTCTAACCACAAATACTGGTCTGTGTGGGTGGGATTTTGACTTTTCTCCATCGGAAACTGAGAGGTCACAGTCCAGGAAAGCCAACCTGACATCTTTTATATGCTCTCGTGTGAACTTTATATACAGTTTTTATTCACAGAGTYGATGTGATCAGTGAAATATTGGACATCCTGGTATTTAATTTTACCCCAGGTGACATCAACATACTTGAACAAATGGCTTGGTGGTGTCCCTGAAAAGGACGTCAGATCTCTCTTGTCTACCTCCTCCAAGTACAACAGGCATGTCCAACTCCGGTCCTCAAGGGTCGGTCTCCTGCAAGTTTTAGATTTGTCCCTGCTTCAACACAGCTGATTCAAATAGATGATTTACCTCCTCAGTTTGCCATCAAGGCCTGCAGAGGCCCATTAAGCACTCCTCAGGTTCTGCTGTGTTGAACCAGGGCAGCACCTAAAACATGCAGGACACCGGCCTTTTGGACACCACTGAACAGGTTTGCATCAATAGGAGAAACTGGAGACCTCATAGCACAGCCATGTTCTGCCTTTAATATTGCAGGAGTTGGCAGAGTTTTTTTTCTGTGGAAAGAGTGGTTCTCCTGCTGAGGGTGGTGTCTTATTTTAATCTCATCCAGACCACATCCACYGCCTCATCAACAGAACACATGTTAAAGAGTATGTGACATCAAAAAGAGACCAAGTGTTCTCTGCCTCTACCATCACACACGTGAAAATCTCAATTACACATTAAAAAACTAAAATTATTCGATGGCATAGCATACCTTAAGGACTGGATATCCTTATATTTTGGTTTGCAAAAGTACTGGGACATTAAAAGGTGTATTAACCATTTTGCAAGCTTTTCTGTGTTTGTTTTGAAGAATTTTAAAAGTTGTATCTGTTTTGACTGCAACTAAACCAAATATCAAACGAAACCCTCTTTGCACACGACTCACCAGTATCATTTTAGACTGTTGTGATCATGCAGGGCAACGTTCTGAGGCCGACAGGAGTGGATCATCACAAAAACATCCATTAACACCTAAACAAAACACCATTTACACCTACATGTRCCCAGAGATCCCACCTGTGTCCTCTGATGAAGAGCTAACAGCATTTTAGTGCTTGCATTTATAACAGTTGTTTTCAACACTGGCCAAAAGAAAAGATGGTTTACTTAGAAAAATGGCACACACATATCTTCTTAATGTATGTAAAGCATAACAGCAGGTTTAGACGTGCTTTCTCTACCAGTCTAACACAGGATCAGTWAGCTATCATAGGAAAAACAAACACTTAAGAAGTTGAATGTCTGTCTTTAAACATGTTTTTATTTAGAGATAAGAAAAACACATCRGTTCCCTCTGGTGTAATAAGCAGCTTTTAAAGATGCTGAGCTTCCACAGCATGATGTGAGATTGTTATAAAATAATATAAGGAGAATAAACAATAAGGTGAATCTCTACTGGCAAGAAAAGCAATATCTTAGTTTCCTGAGGCGAGGGTGAATGAAGACACAAACAAAATGGGAATGTGTGAKCAGGCTGGAGCAGAACTTATTACATTACAGTTAAGCAAAAGTAAACATTTTTCTTAAGGAAAGACAGGTTGAGCTTTGTCAGCTCGTCGGTTGTTCTAAGATAATACTTTTTATTTTAACAAATAAAATAAGGCAAACATCCTGAAAAAAAGTATGACTCTAACAGAATCAACAATCATCAATGAACATCAATGAAAAAATTTTTTGAATTTCTTCATTTTCCTTGACTGAACTCTGAAGTTAAATCAGTAGGCATAAAAATAATAACTTCCAATTACGGTTGCAAATACATTTAACTTTTACTGATAATAAAAATAACCATTAAACAAACAAAAGCATGAAATATTTGTTTTATTCTAAAGGAAATGTAAGGAACCTTGAATACTCAAGCTTGAAATAAAGACAAATAAAACACAATTTTGCAACAATTCTCAGCTCATAATGTTTCTCAGCTGTCTTCCTTCAATCTTAAGCTTCAGAGCTGTAAACAGAGAAGTCAGAGGCCATAGTCACATGCAGCTCCCATGGAAACTGATTGACAGGTCTGTTAACTTGGTCCTGCCGACCTCTGGCCACCTTGATCATCAGCTGGATGTCCTCATCATCGAGGATACGGATCAGGTCGCCATCTTGGTCCCGGTAGTTTAGGGCAATGTCTTCCACCTTGAAGACATTCCTGAAAAGGAAGAAAAGTTTGATCCTCAGAAGATGAAAGATGAAAATGATCACATTCTGTGTATCTTTGTTTAGAAATAATCCAGCTAGTATCTTTTTTTTCTTCAGTGTATGATAAGATCTTAGCTAKGTTTGTGGAAAATGAATGCAACTTGCACACAACTTTGTTGTTGTTAGTTTTTAAGTATTTCAAAAAATAAAAATAAAAAAACAGACCGGGCTGTATTTAAATCTAACAAACCCTTCAGTTACACTTATTAGTTAAGTGTCYTTGTTTTGCACAATGTAATTTTCTTGTTTTCTTGTCTACATGCTGTCTCCTCATTTCATCCTGCTTCTCCCTCTCCTGTTTATCTCTACTTTGTAATATTAAAACATTAAACCAGGTTGTCATCCATCTGACTCCAGGGCACAATAGGCCTGATTACTGAGAAACAATAACAAAAAGATAAGCAATAGAAATGAACTGGTTGTGAGTAGCGAGAGAGAGAGAGAGAGAGAGAGAGAGAGAGAGAGAGAGAGAGAGAGAGA